TAGATAGGAGTAGACTTGGGATAGGAAAGAGATGGTCAGTGGGAGCAGTATCTCTGAGAGTTACTCTCAAATGAGGCAGACTCACCTGTATCCACCAAAATGTTCATGGCTACCTTAACATACACAGGATTTTTCCCTTGCTGTTTCTCATTTTAGCTAGGCATCTTGCCTTATTTTTATTACCAAAACCTGCTACTAGAGAAGTTGCTTTGTTTAGAGAAAAATAACACAATATACTCCTGGAGAAGTTTTCATGCATGTGTGAAAAATCATTTCCCCTTTCTGTAGCATTGCACTGGCAACTCTATGTACTTCAAAAGTTATACTTTTTGTCTTTTATATTTCTTTCATTTCAACAGAGATGTTAGAGAGGTGGCTCCTGGGATACAGTTTTTAATTGGACCAGATTACAAGATAATCCCAGGCTCCCAGATGGATTGTTATATGTGCAATATTTGGTCTAGTTTGTGATTTCAAAATGAAAAGGTAGGGCAAGATTTACAGCTTGATGTTTAACAACCAGTTTTCCTTGAAATAAACACAAGTTTGTGGGTCTATAAAACATGCCCACTTTGAGGAAACACTGAGAATTGCAGGTAGGGAGGAACTATAGTCTGACTAATGAACAAACTCCTTGTAGCACTGGGATGTGTTTGGGTGTCACCTTTCTGCAGACGGAACCTAGCTTCATCCAAGTCTCAGAGAGAGGAAGGAAGGGAAGAGGTATTCATCTACCCTAATAGCTCTTTATGGTTTTGATAAAAGTGCAGTTGCTGAATCACACATATCTCTTTTTGTCTGATGAGTTGAGAAGAGTGAAACTAACTATAAGAAAGTAAATTAAAAGCAGATTGGAGATTAAATCCCTACAGGTTTTTTTTTTTCTCTTGGATTTTGGCTGCTCCTTACAGACATCTTCTGCTTTTGTAATCCTTTTACTTAGATAGCTGCACACTTCTGATTTCAAAACTGGTCAAGTTTTGCTATGACTCTTGGTATCACAAATTTCTATATTGGAAGTTTGATGGCATTGATTTTTGCACATCTCTGTCACCAAAAGTCAAAAGTAATTGTTCATCTTTTTGGCTGCAGCTACTGCAAAATGCACACACTAGCCCGATGTTACGGGTGGCAGTAGAGACAGCTGCTACTACACTGACTGAAGCTTCTTGTAGTCTGCTCCTGTACACACCACAGCCAAAGTGTTTTGCTAATGATACCTGCACTGAGCTCTTAAATTTCTTAGAAAGCTTCAGGACAGACAGCTGTAGCAACTGGAACTGCCTTACAAAACAGATCACGTGTAAGGCTTATTAGCCATCTGAGCTATGTGGGTAGAGGTTTTAGAATAGAGAGTTCAAATACTGGTGGCTGGATATTTATGTATTTATTAGGAAGCTGTGTATGAATGAAGCAGCAAAAAACCCCAAGAGACATTACTTCAAGCTAGCAATTTAGGCTATTTAGTCAGTGGCTCTGCTTATAAATCCTTTTACGGGATGCCTTATCCTGTTTTAAGATAGACGTAAGGGACAGGTGGAATAAATCACATTCTAGGGATGGGGCTTTGAGCAACCTGGTCTAGTGGAAGGTGTCTCTGCCTGTGGCAGGGGGGCTGGAACTAGATGATCTCTAATGTCCTTTCCAGCCCAAACCATTCTATGATTCTATGATACCTCTAACTCTCTGTTGACTGTGGAAACAATCAGCATAAGCTCCGCAGATTGCTTTTAGGGAGCTGAAGGTAGAGGCAATGAATCCATCAAACATACATCTAAATTCTTTTGCTAGTTCAGAGTGCAAGACTGCATTTGCTTCACAGACAAGCAGGGTGAGCTCAGGTCTGCTTGAAAGCCTGTTTGAACACATCCCTAATGCGCCCTGGCCTTCTCATGGATGAGCATAATGGGCTGTATTTCTCATCAGACATGTATCACAGCAGGCAGCACATTCTTGCAAATTGTCCTAGAATGCTCTTTGGGTTTGAAACTTGTTTTGTTTTATTGAATGCTGGATATGGAAACGGTCTCACTAATGCTTACGCAGGGATATCCTACTTCTAGCTGATAATCCTCTGCTTATATAGGCAAGGATCCCCTTAGCTCTTCCAGATGCAGTTCTGCATTAGATTTTTGGGTCAGTTTTATTATCCCATTTTCAGAAAGATTCAGAAAGAATTACTACTTTCTGAAACAGTCTCTCATCCTGTAAGGAAATACATCTTCTATGAGCATAGTAGCTATTCTGAAATTATGCTTAAAAACCTGTATTATTTCAAACACAAAAAAACCAGCTCTTCTTTTTCAGCTTTTTAAAGTTTTATTCTAGGAACCTTGTTTGCTCATGAGATATTAATTTCATTTAGAAATCCAAAATCCCTAAAATTAGTAGCTGAATAAAGTTTCTTCTCCTGCAAATGTGGCATATCAATTTTGTGCCTTCTTCAAGAGTTCCCAAAGGTGCCTAAATCAGATTTAACACTTGGCTTTGATAAATACTTACAAACGGTACAATGTATAAGACTAAGAGTTCTGCAGTATTATTCACCAGGGAACTGCAGGTAGATTTTTACGTCATTTATTCCACTCATGGGCATTCACTGACCTTTCATCTATGACTTGTCACTGTAGAAGGAAAAGAGGAAAATGCCGTCTGGTGAGTTTTTCACTTACCAAGGGCTACAAAATCCTTCTATCCCCTATAAAGTACCAGTTGGATCAGATATCACAAACAGAAAACTAGCAGAGCCATCAACTTCACTAAGCAAATGCCACCAACTCTAAACCTCTATTCTTACTAGATCTTACATCTGGATCTTTGGCATAAGTGAACATGATGCAAGAGCTTGTAACAATCCCACGGTACCCCTTTGGTCACTGTAATAAAGAGACAGAAAAGACTTCTCGGATCTCCTACCTCAGTTTGCTGCCAGTGCAGAGATATATGAGGGAGCCCCAAGGGTAAATGGGAACAATAAAACTCACCAAGTTGACTGAAGGAGTATCAATTCAGTGTAGTGAAACAGCAAATGCCAGGAGACCAATCAGTTAAAATACAATGTACAAGTACCTGCAAGCCTGCATGTGGAAAGTGTTCTTCTCCCTGCACTTCTTTCAGGTCCTGATTCAGCAGTGTATGTGTGGAAGTGCCTTACTGCATCAGGATCAAAGACATTTAAATCACAAATGAAAGGACTGCCTACAACTAAATGCAGATGATAGCTTTAGGAACACAGATTATTCTGTGATTAAGTGGCTACATGTTTTATTAATCAGTAAGGGGTATGAAAAGTGATCCTTAAAAAATTATTTCTTCCTGCTTCCACTTCAAATTCATTGACAGTTGTATTTTACTTATATTTTTCTTTCATCTTATTGTTAAATGTTGGCAAAGACTAGAATGTTATTTTAGTGTGTATAAATAATTTATTGAATAATAATATATGAAAATGAATTAGATATGCTTCTCTATGTGAATGACATTCTATTATTGAAAATTATTAATCAGCACATTCCACTCCATCAAACCTAAATTTTTTGAGGAAGAGGAGGGCAGGAGGTGGAGAGGCAGTTTAGAAAAATGCAATACAGTGGGCTGACTAAATCTGAATACTTGGTCTCTGAAAATGCAGATATCAGTGTAATTCAAGTCATAATGATGAGATACAGAACAGCTATATGCAGTCATAATAACAATTTATATACTGTCAATATTAATAGCAGTGTCTGTTTGAGAATACAGTTTTAAAATAGGTACGTACAATTTTATTAAGTATAAAAAGACACCGTGCAGAGCACAATACAATATATTTCGTCTTGAATTCTGGTAGTTCTCAAACTTCACTGTCTTAATTGATATTGTCACCAATGACCACTGAATAGAATTACTTCTCTGTATAAAATGAGGCTTCTCTGGATGAATTAATGCTGTTTGGTTTTAAAAATACAGTAATTTCCTTTCAATGGCTAGTTACACTAATCAAACACTGTCAAGACTTCTGGGTAGCCTGCATTTGGTTGCTAACATATACTATGATACTGCCAATATCCTGTTTTGCTCTGTCTCTCTCTCTTTGAGAATAGATCCTTCAAAATACTGTTTCTGACTTTGTTCCAAGATCACAACCAGAACACTGGTTCAGACCATTTCTACATTCCTCACATTACCAAACTTTCACTGACATCAGCTGGAGTTTTCAACATGTAAGGACTGTAGGGTTCTCCCCTAAGCTCCTTTTATCCCTCAGTCTTTTCTAATGAAGGCATGCTGAAAATGATTATTTTTTAGAATTTGGGGGTTCCATTTTCTTATTTTCTTGAAAATAGATGACATTTATAGCCTTCCAGCTTTGACTATTTTCTTTGGAAAAGCAGACATGTAAACTTAAGAACTTAGTTCTATATTTTGTTTGCACATTCCAATGTGGTTTGATTAAAAAAAAAAGTCAGAACTCTAACTTCAAACTGATTTAAATGATAATGTGTGAATCTGAAAAGGAACAACTTCTACTTCCTCCTCTCCAAAATATATTAACATTAGACTGGAAAATAAATTAAAGAATACAGAAAAGCTGAAATTATGCTATCACAGTAATATCTGCCAAACAAAGCTTGGTCTTTTGCTAACATTAGCTTACTACATTTGCAATACATGCTAAGCAAAGACCCTACTTCTGTAACAGGTACATTCAGACAATATATATTTTATGGAATAAATATATAATATATCCAGTTATAGATTTCTGAATAGTAACTATAATAGATACAAGCAATACCTACGTTTAAAAATACAGTTCTAGGATTCCCTAGCTTTACTACTAATAAAATTAAAATTGACCTAAAACTTTCTCACTCTGTTGATGCGTAATAAAATATATGGAAACACCAAGAGTAAAAAGCCAATTGCTTCTACAAATGGAATACTTTATAAATATAGTAAATTGCTATTTCCAGAGGGAAAATTGAAAATTATAAACAGGAAGTTAGGTTAAAACAGCTCTACAATATACAGTACAAAGTGGCTACGAAGCGTGATGTATGAGTTTGATGTCTGTGGCAAAATTTTGAACTGATGTAGTTGTTCATTTCTGGAGATAATCGTAGAGAAATATGCTGTCCCTAAAAGCAGCCAATCTTGATCTCCTTAAAAAAAAGCTTCCACTGACTAGGGAAAGCCAACTGGCCAATTTGTCAGAGTAAGGAGTGCAAGATTAGATCAAACAGAATTATTTGGAAGCCCTGGACTTCTCTGCTTCATAGGATTTGTGTATCATGCTGTTCTCATTGGGAACAGAGTCACAGAAGTATTATGTATCTGCGAGTGCCATGTGCTGAAAAGCCTTGTCATGAAGGTACCCTCCCTATGGCTGTCTTAATTACGTTATTCTTGTATTGCACATTCTCCAGATGAATTCTGTTTTGTGTTCCTGTAGATGTTTCCTTTTGCTGGAATACTGAAGTTCTGGTTGCTTGATTACTGAACTCTTGATCGAGGCTTTTTTTTTCTTGAGAATAACCTAGAATTAAAGAAACACATTTTTCAGAGCAAGAATAAGGAATTGAGGAATTAAGTTGTTGGCTGTCTCCACCTGCCTTTTTTCCCCTTTCAGTTTAAAAAAAAAATAAAATCAGTAAAAAAACCTTACTTGCTAATGAAAAGATTTGGGTAACTGAAAAAATGAAAAACTTCATGTGAGACTGTGCCTTTTCTATGTTCGGCTCCTGCAATGGCCTTATTTTATACAGAAATCCAAAACTTACTTCATTAAATACTACCATTTATACCTCCAGTCTGAGTTGAGGCCCTGAGATGGGATTCAGATCCCACTCAAAGCCTTTGTTTGCATCAACAAATCTGGAATTCTGGTGGTGAAAGGACACGGGGTCAACAAGGCGGGTGTTTTCCCCTAAATATCAACAGAGGTCAGAGTCAACATTAATAATGATGAAACCATCCCTGGGAGCTTCAATTTCTGAACATACGGGGACTTTCCTGAGTCACTTGTGTCTTACTGGCACAAACATTCTGTTTTGAGAAGACCTGGTACAAGATGTGGAGGATTGGGATGTAAGTCATTGGGGCACCCTTTCCACCTGATGTCATTTGGTCAAACGGAGCACATCTATAAATGCATTTATGTAACAAACTCTGACTTACTTCAGAAGAACTGCATGTATGGAGAAACCCTGTACCTCCCATACCATGTGTTCTGACTGTACTGGGAAAATTGCAAGCCTCTCAGAAGCTATTATAATGTTGAAGGTCAGTCAACAGTGAATAAAATACTTCCTACCAAACTGGAGATGAGAAGTAGCACTTGTGGGTTCCCTGCAGAGGAATCACTGAGTGAAGTTTGGCTTCCCTGTAACAGGGGAGGGACTAGGAAGAATTTTCATCACATACCAGCAGCAAATCTTGATGTTCTGCTGCACAGTGGTAACAGACTAGTTGGAAATACATTAAACTGTGTCTAATCTGGTAGTATATTCTTACCTGTCATAAATGCTTGGGGTTTTAATTAAAAAACATTCCCAGGAAATACAGATTTCTTATGCAGTCTTCCTTGCAGAAAAGCTGAGCTGCACAGTGGCTATTGACCTAGGGGTTATTAGCTGTAAATTGGCTCCAGAACTTTTCAGAGCCTTTCACCTCTTTTCAAAATGCATTTTTACTGGGAGAGACCATGTGGAAATACATTGAAGAATGAGCTCTCCTCTTCCTCACCACACTAAGTGCTTGCTGGGGTGCTGAGCACACCTCTGGCCTCCTGACTGTCAACCCCAAGGAATCTCCCCACCCTGCCAACAGCCCAGGACCCCATGTCAGCTCCCAAGGCCTGTCAGCCCTGACTCAGCAAGGCTGCAGCAGGGCTGGTCTCCAGCTCTCCACAGCCCTGCCCTGCCCGGCCAGGGCCCCCACTGAGCCAGGGCCATATGCTGGCCTGGCCTTGGCCCCGGGCAGGTGCCCAACACCTGGGGAGGGGGCTGCTCCACTGTCCCTCGGCTGCCTGGTCCTTGGTTGGGGCTGGGATGGGCCCTGGTGCCAGGCCCTGCCCTGACAGACCCCTGGGCCCCGGGAGCTGCTGGCCCAGGCGGGGTGCTGTTAGGGGGCTTTAGGGAAGACCAATGAATCCTCTCACCTACGACATATGGTTTTGCTGAGTAGTTTGCTGCTGTTGCTGCTGCTGAATGAGCAATTGCTGCTGTTGCCGGCGCCGGGCTGTTCTCAGTTTTTCGAAGCGAGCCTCCATCTCCTCCAGCACTTTGGGAGTGTAGCGTACCACCAGTTTGACACTGTCCTTAGCTGCCTTCAGCAGCTCCACCGCCTTCTCATGGTGCTCTCCTTCCACGCTCTGGGAGCAGGGAGAATAGATTTAATAATGAAAATGCTGCTTTGATCTAGAGCTCTGTCCTCTTTTTCATACAGAAAGGCTATTGGGGTTTTAGGAAGTTTCCACACCTTCCATTTTTCAAGGGACCAAAGAGAAAGTGTTAAGTAAGATTTATGCACTGCTGGGAAGGTATTAATTTTCGTATTTTAAATAACCCAAATCTGTTTTAGGTTGCATTACAAACCTAATTTATGATTTGTGTGAAAAAGAGGGGAAATGCTCAACAGGCTTTATCCAAATAAAAATAATGTTAAAAAAACCCAAACCCTGCAGTAAAAACCCAAAAAGCATGTTTGCAAAGTACAAAAATAAAGTGGAATACAGAGAACATAACATCCTATTTAAGTGTTGGTAAGAAATAAACAAATTTGAAGTTTGAAATGGTAATTTCTTTCTTATGCCCTGGCCCTGTTTGGATCCTGCAGAGGATGACGTGGTGATGAAGCAGTTGCTGAGCTGCAGGCAAAGGAGCACGTCTGCTGCTCCTGGGGACAACCCACATCTTAGACAGTTAATGGCATTGCTCACACATTTAACATTTATATGATACTGGTTCTCTATTGGAAATAAGCTAGTCTTTATCTCGTTAGGTGTAAGCAATAAAACACTAACAACCTAAACACTGCAAGTTCTTGGTGGAGGAATATGTATTTTCCCTCCCCTTCTGGAAAACAGTTTAGTATCATTATCACAGAATCATAGAATGGCTTGGATTGGAAGGGATCTTAAAGATCATCGAGTTCCAACCCCCCTGCCATGGGCAGGGACACCTTCCACTAGACCACGTTGCTCAAAGCCTCATCCAGCCTGGCCTTGAACACCTCCAGGGATGGGGCATACACAGCTTCTCTGGGCAACCTGTGCCAGTGTCTCATCGCCCTCACAGTAAAAAATTTATTTCTAATATGGAACCTAAATCTACCCTCTTTCAGCTTAAAAATATTACCCCTTGTCCTATCGCTACCCTCTCTGACAAAGAGTGCCTCCCCATCTCTCCTGTAGGTCCCTTCAGGTACTGAAGGTAGGCTGCTATAAGGTTTCCCTGGAGCCTTCTCCATGCTGAAAAACCCCAACTCCATCAGCCTATCCTCATATGAGAGGTCCTCCAGCCCTCTGACCATTTTTGTGGCCCTTCTCTGGACTCGCTCTAACAGGTCCATGTCCTTCCTATGTTGGGGGCCCCAGAGCTGGATGCAGTACTCCAGGTGGGGTCTCACGAGAGCAGATCAGAGGGGGAGAATCACCTCCATTGACCTGCTGGTCATGATTCTTTTGATGCAGCCTGGGATATGGTTGGCTTTCTAGGCTGTAAGCACACATTGCCATGAAACCAAAAGTATTCCCAAAGGTGCTCAAGATGTAATTTCTATGCTAACATTGTTTGAAACAGTACATTTCCAAAAGGGGGAGGTGACTTGGCTTTGAAAAGAGTATTTAATTTCTACCATTAAGTGGTAGAAAGACTGGAGTGCTTTTCAGACATGTGGATTGTTCCACACCTTAAGAGAGAGGGAGACATTTTCTAATGGTGTATGATTTCCCACCTGTGTTGTAGGATATATACCAAAAAACAAATGTATCTTTGCACAGAAAAAAAAGACCTCATAACAGATCTTCAGATGGCTTTTAGACCACTTAAAAAATAAGTCATTTTCTTCCCACACAAAATAAATCAAAGTTTTACTACATGCTGTGTTATAAAGCCCTTATGTATACCACGCTATTTAAAATGAAACAATACCCATAAGCCTCCAAAGAGAAGCAGCAGCATTCAAAATATTTGATGTTCAATTCATGCTAAAAGAATAACTTTGCATCATTATAGCAACTGTCAGAAGAAAATTCCCTCTATTTTAATCTCTCCTATTTGACTGAGTAGCACTGTGCAAGAACAGTGAATAAGAATTACTTCTGCTGTGGCACACTATGAGCTAGAAATAATGATTTTAAAGTTTCAAAAAGCAGACACAATACACTTCTACATCAATAATACAAACAACACAATTCAAGCTAATCACCTTGCTATTTATCTTCCTTTCTCCTGTTAAATTTCCTTCAACATATTAATCCAAATAATTATTTAATGTCTGGTTCAACTGACTGGACTCAAGAGTTTCTACAGAAATGTTAAGATGCTTCACAAAAATTAATGCAACAAAAAGAAATAACAAATGTAATTTCAGGTGCTGAAATGATTACCAGAAATAGAGAAAACCTCAAAGTAAGTGTACATTTGATTGTTGAGAGAAATAATTGACTTCATGTTTTTGAACTGTATGTTCATGAAATCCTTCCAGTATGTCTCCTGTTCAAAGATCTTTGAGAAAATTCATGTTCTGTGATGACCAGATTTGTTAGAAATTGTGATTGTGATAAATGAACAAGCACTGCTTTATTGTGATTGTGATAAATGAACAAGCAATTTAGAGAAAAAAGAGTTTCCTTACAAATACTTGAAAAAGAGGAAATTGTTGTTGCATAAGAAACAGACAGTGTATCTAACACTCCAAAGAGAGCTAAAAATAAAAAGGTATAGATGCACAGGGTGTTTTGAGAAATTGCTTTAATGAACAAGTCACAGATACAAATTAAAACCTTTTCCCCACATCTGCTACCCCATAACTGCTCAATGTTAGAAAAGGTGATAGTAGCTAACACATACTATGACTAGGTATCTTTTATAACTCATTACTTTGTGCATGGCTTTGATACTGGATTTTGTAAACACACTTCTCACCTTAAGAGAAACTGTAAAAAATTTGACATTATATTTAATTTTTTTTGTTTGTGAATCATGGTCAGTATGACGTGGCATGGCTGTTCAGAGGAAACGACAGTGTTTTGAGTGTTGCCATGATCAATTTTGCTGTGGAACAGTATGAATTTAGAACAGACTATGAACAAAAATGATAAGCTTACATGAAGTAGCTAAAATACTCATTTGCTTTCAGAGTTGGATGGTTCTAACTGACATCAATAAGCAACTGTGATTGTATCTGTTCTGTAGGGGAATAACAATATGGTGCAGTTTAATACTTCATGTAACTTAGTAAACTGTATTTGATTCACGATTGCCTGTTTTCTTTCCCATTTGCCTCCAGCCTTGTTCTGCCAGTTTACAGACAGTATTCTCTAATTAGAAATGAAGGGTTTGACTTTTTTGCTATCCAGGTCAATGGAAAACTCCCATTGACTTGAATAGTAATGATACAGAATTAAGCCTAAAGCTCTGAACCATAACCAAAGAGGGGATAACAACAATGGCAAAGTAAAAGACAGTTTTGCTAAATACGAAGCCTGCTCTCCAAACGTACCTAACTCAGGTCTTAATAACTGAAGTTTTCAGCTGCTATCAATGTGACTGCTATATGTGCTCTTAATGTCTTCATTGCTGCTTGCACTCATATTTCTAAGGAATTACAAACGCTTTACCTGCATAGTGGTAGCTGCACAACTTAAATATAAGAGCCTCTTGGAGTAGGAAAAAGAGCTTATACCAGCAAAGGAAGTTTTTTTGCTGTTTGATTTCTTCCGCCTCTACAAACCTCTGAGGCTTGTGCTGGTGAATGTCTCCTGCTCATATCGATCATGCCTGTACAAGGGACTTTGCTGACTGGATTACACTGGTTGGGGATATTGCAAGGATCTGACACTCATGTTACTTTAGAACCACTCCCCAAACATAGGATTTAGTAAATTTGTTTCGGAATGTATATCTTTATTTAATATGGACTTTTTGATTGCATATATTTATATATACTTACATCTATATTTTCCTTATTTCATTGGCAGATTGCATGAAAAAAAGGATGCAAAATATTGTAGAGACAAGAACAGCTGAAAGAACTGTAGATATGGTGTGGGGAAACATCAGCCACTACTGTATCTAGGCTCATAGACCTGTCATAAATACAAAAGAATCCCACTCTCTTGCAGACAAAAAAATAAAAAAGAATGTGATTGTTACCCCACAAGTTGAGAAACTGAGAAGAATATTTCTATTGGTTATGTGTAAGCAAATGCTTGGGTGAGAAATAAGCCATTATAAACCTGTCTGTATCTGACTTATACCACGTATCTGAAGGATGCAGAATCTGTTACAGATGTGAACAGCCACCAGCAAGTGCCTTTGCTGTGCCATCTGCAGGGCTTACTGCTTTCAATTTCCTTTACTTTTAGGGGGTGTGAGGCAAAGGTATGTAACAAAATCCCCAGCATAATTAGAAAACACTTATTTTAACATTCGGTGAAACAGCTCAAGGAACAGTCATCCCACTCATGCTGGGATAACAAATCTGGATTCTGAACACACAGCTCTAATTTTGTGTTGATAATTATAAAGTTGGATAACCACCAACTTCTGAGCACAAACAAGTTACAGATATTCCATTTTCATTTCCTGTGCCACTGCTGATCCGTCTGTTGTACTGTGCATACTGTATATTATTTGTCTTTCTCCAGCTAAATTGAGAGAAGCACAGAGTGAACTAGTCCCAGTGAACAATGTTAAAATTAGACCTTTTCCCTCCTGTCTCAAGCTGTCTGCAAACAAATTACCGCTTCTATAATTTTTGCCTTTTTACAAATTATATTGTATGGGCTTAATTCAGCCCAGGATTGGTGTATGAACAGTTGCTCATAGGCATTATTTCAAGCATGCAATTGCAGTTCAAACTTTGAATTCTGTTGTTTAGACTCTGAACACAAAAATATTTCTGTTGCATCTCTGAATCAACTTTCTCATGTGCTTACTTGCAATTGGGAGTTTTATATTGTGTTTTTTTGCTCCATTAGCTTAATATATATTCTACAACACATAAATGAAATTTTTTGAAGATTATCATAAAATACAGGTGACAACAGAGTCAAATTCAATATATCTTGACATCTGAAGATTCACCACTTTCTTCCACAGTATTTGCCTAAATGTTGTTGACAGTAAAAGGATTTTTCAAGAACCATCCGTCAATCAGTGGACATAAACTCTTTTTAGCTGTCTTTTTATTCACCTATTGAAAGGAGTGCTGAACAATAACAAAATTATTTGATCAAGTTCCAATCAGTGAAGTTCAGGCAATTTACCTACTAAATATTCCGTTGATTTATTTTTCTCTGAGACTAAATGATCATTTCTGTGGGTTTTCTTTTTTTTGTTTTGTATCTTTTCTTTCTCATTGTGCACTGGGGCAAGCAAGCTTCCAGACTTATTATTTCTCTTTTGAGAACATGATGGCTCATAGAAGAAGTGGTAAAAAGTCTGTCTGAAGTGTTGCATCGATATTTTGTTTCAAGAGAAGGGGAATAGCTTTTGTTGAGAGAAACAGATGACAACATGAAAGCATGTATAAAACTGTATTTTTTCATTCTTTATGGGCTTGCAACAAAGAGGAAATTTAAGTTAGAAAGTCTTATATTTATGACTGGATTCAGGAATTGCTCCTACGTGCCTCTGGTGTATTCAAATATGAGGTTTGGGTGGAGGTTTTGCAAGAAAAAGGATTATGTTTTCATTAAGAGAAGTGTAGGGTTATATGAATGAATATGCTTACCTTTTGGGTACTTTACATTCCCTTGTAAAAGAGAACAAAAAGCAAAATGAAAGGTTTATTTGACCCATATAATGTAGTCAGAGCCTTATTTTTCCTCTCTATTCCAACAGCCCTTTTATTTTTACCTCCATACTGACACAGTGAAACTACTGCAAAACACTCCACCCTGAAGTATTGACTTAAACAAAAAATTACTATGTAAAAAATGTATCTTTTTACTGAGAAGACATGCTCCCTGTATGTGTTTGCACAGCTGATTTCTCTGACAAAGGTATCATAGCTGGATGAGTGTCATGTCCCTAAAAGAAATCTGCAGTGTACCTTCCATTGCAAATCAGCACCAAATGTGGTTAACAAATTTATGTGTTCAAATGCTCTGAAGGTCGCAAGGCTATACAAGTGCCACTGAGACACCAATGTACTTGGAAAAGGCTGTGTGCCCCAGAGGTTTTGGTGTGCAAGAACCACAAAGCCTATTATTATGCTTTTACTACATATGAAATTTGCAGAATTATTAAGACATAGCTTCCTTGTAAATTGAGCATGTGGTGTGGATTTAAAATGAAGCTCTCACCCTCCATTACAACAGAAATTATAGTGGCACAAAGCTGTCGATGTAGCTCTGCTCCATTGCACCACAAATGCATACTGAAAGTCTCTCACAGAGCTAATTCTTTTAATTTCAGGTGGCTGCATTTTAAATTACAGTAATAGAACGGGGATGAAAAACGAAAATCCAGATAAAAATGAAAACTCTGTCAAATTTCCACATACCACTCCGTTAACTGAAAGCAGCTGGTCGCCCCGTTTGAGTCCTCCATGCCTTTCTGCCACTCCTCCAGGAATGATGCGAGAAATATAAATAGGTGAATTTTGCTCTTTTCCTCCCATGACATTAAAGCCCAGGCCCTCATCAGTCTTTGGCAGTTCCACCACTCGCGGGTGTGAATGGCCTTCGCTTGCAGCAAAAGCAGCAACTGTTGCCTGGAAGAAAAAAATTGAGTGATTTGGCTGTGGAGGGAGAACCCTGATATACACTCTGTTGTTCGTTTGCAGGAAGAATTAATTCCTGTGAAAACATTTCAGTATTTTTCTCTGACTTTTTTCTGACTATCTGAAAGTACTTTACAAAAATTAAGTTCCATGCCAATGCTTCTGAAATAAAGGAATAAGCAGAGGAATAGAGAGTTCAGGTGACTTGTCAAAGATAATGCAGAAAGTTAGCAGCAGAGCCAGAAGTAGGCACCAGGGAGCCTGACTGCATGGTGGTGAGCACCTATGATCACTAGGAGATTGCTTCTTTGCCTTTTCACAGGGAGAAAATTTATTACTCTAGGATAAGATAATGCTATCTCTACTGTGTTCCTAGTTGAAATAAAGTGAACTGTTAACTCTCTGCTCTGCTTTCAGAGGTATGGCATGATTTATTTTATTCTTTGTGCACAGAAAAAAAATCCTAAAAGGATATTCTTATTTTAAAAAGTTTAATTTATAATTTTTATGAAATCTTGCAAACTAGATAACTCCTGGAACAGGAATACAAGATTTTATAATATAATGGCATCAAAACTTTTATTGAAAAATCAAATCTTAGGACAATGGATTTATAAATAAACTAAAAGAATCCTAGACTGTTAATCTTACCCTGTCAAAAAACCCCCCATGTAACAAACGATAAAGCTTGCATCCAGAAAAATCTTATATCTTACACTTAATTTTTCACTACAAGTATTTTCCTACAGATAGATCTCAGTAAATCATTAAATAAACATTAAGAAAATATTTTATCATTCTCAACATCTGTTTATAGTCCAAACTGTTCAAACAATTCTGCATTACACTACTGTTTTTTGAACATCCTAATAATGCTTATGCTTAATAGAAGCTAGTGGATGATGTGACATAATGGATCATTCTCAGTTACATGTTTTTGCACATGCAGTTCTTGTCATCATGCATACATTTTATGTCAGACATGAATGCACTAGGAGAATGCAATGCAGACAGCCCAGAAATAACCAGGAAATATTGCGATATTGAAACATTGCTCTGTAACCCTGCTGTTCTATATGAATAAGAAATGAGAATGGCAAACACTAACTGGATCTCTTCCCATGTACTATACAACACAGCAATAATTTCTATGTTTACCTGCAGTGTAGACAAATCAGGATCTCATACAGACATTTCTCTATATTGTAGTATAGACCTTACAAATTTACATTGTCCATTAACTTGCAATTAGAAGAACTTGAAAATCAGAAGAACAGCCTACAAAAAGGAACGTTCTACTTAGTAAAGAAAATACACTGCAATTTAGTGCATATTAGGTTATTTGCTGGCTACTGTCCAGCTTGCTTCTCTAAAATACTGTAGAAACCATTTTGAAACATACTTCCACCCTTCATCTTCTGATACAGCTTTAAATGAAAATCTCTTAACACAAATAAATAATGGTAAGATCTTAATTCCATTAAGATTTCAGGGAGCTTTGTCACTAACTTCATAGGAGTTGGACCATAAGAAATATCTCTAAAAATGATTTATGGCTTTTGCAGGTTTACCTGTTTTGCATAGTACCTGTTACAACACCCAGAAGATAGTGCTGAGTACAAAATTATAATGAGAAAAAATAAAAAAGCCATGGTGGACCTCTCTGTTTGGAAGCACCTATCTTTGTATATGTTACGAAAATACACACATAGAACAGGTTCTCTCACGGTTCTGTAAATTCCCTTAGAAAATTATCACTGTAGTAGCAGCAGTAATGTAGTTGTCATGGTCTAAGGATATGAGAAAGGCAGGTCCACATGGACAAAGAGACAGCATGTTTTATTAAAACCAGTAATGCATCAGAAAAGAATGGGCTTGCATTTGGCTGTCGAGTTTTTTGATCAGGCCATTTTTGTCACTGTTCATCCTTACCACTTTCTCAGTACCTACAGTTCCCATTAGTTAAAGTGGAATTTTGACTGTTTAGTTTCTGTCTCCCAAATCATTGTGCCCTCTCTGGATAAGCTGTATGGGAAAATAGTCCATCAAAATATTGGTCGTTGCAGGCAGACTTCTACAAAACGAGCCAGTAGAATTGCTTTTGCAAAGCAACTTTTCAAAAAGCATCAATTTCCATAAAATCATTCTCTTTTCTTAAGCTACAGAAGCAGCATAAAGGTTGAAATTTTCCATTATGATTGTTACCTGGGAAGTAGCACTGGTTCTAGACTCTGGGCTGCCACTGATGTCTAAATTTTCTTACAGTGTACACACGAATACCTGAAACACACACGCGCACAGTCAATTACTAGGTCACTTTGGTAACACGTATTTCAACAGTTGCACGTATCCTACCTTTGCAGTGGCCCTGGCTCGGAATTCGGGGCAGCCATTAACAGTTATGGTTTCATGCATGTATTGATACACCTAAAATGTTCATGAAAATAAAATGTAATTAATTATAGAAGTAAAACAAAGACTTTATATTAACCCAGACAGGACAGTCCCTTTCCCTCATAAGACAGTTTCATTCATGCTGTATTTATGCAATCACATAGTCAAGAGTCTGCTAAACTTGTGCATGCTTAGGTTGACAAGGAACATCAATGTGTTTCTCATGACACTTTGCAAATGTAACTGTACATCTTCCAACATGATTCCCTTCCCATCTCTAGCACATTCTTTCTGAAAACCAGGACAGTTAGGTTCTATGTTATCAAAAAACAGTGTTTCCAGGCAACTGCTTTGAATGCAAATGATCTGAACTGATTTGAGTCTTGTCTTAGCCTCCAACAGCTACAAATGGTGTGGCTGACTATAATGTCTAAAAGCATATATTTGATTATTGAACTATTATGACATTAAATTATTTCCAAAAAAGGTCACAATACTTCAGATATAAGAACAGTCACTAACAAGTTCTTTAAAAAAATTAATTACTAAGGTAGAATATCACAAAGGTGAGCTGATAATGATACATTCATGTGATTATTGGCTAGATTTGATGTCACGTAACTCCATATTGTCTGTATCACACCAGTATGTAGCTAGTAGGCTTCATAATAGCCAATATCCTGGTAACTAATTTGTATACAGTGAAAGAACAAACTCACTACGTGTGATTAAACTAATATGTTAAAAAAGAATCAACTAACTCAACAAAACCCAACTTATGAAAAATATTATTGATAATGTAATTTAATCCTTGTGTTCATCTGTAAATTCTCAAGGATAATAGATTTTAAATGGTATTCTGCAATAAGTTATCAGTGATTATTACATCTATAGCACAGTTCTTAGGAAAATAAGTCTTTCATGTAAAATCTCACTCTCTATAAGCAACAGATGTGACCAGTCTTGAATATCTGCTTGAGGCATTTGTAAATCTAATTCTACTATTTGACTGTTACATAATGTTTAATGCAATTTGTGTTTAAGGACAAAACAAACACCTACATGACACTCTTCTTATTAATTCAGTTTAACAACCAAACACAGATTAACTGTACCTGTTCTACCAAGCCCCTTAAACTCTTTATAGGGTTCAGATCTAATCATTGCTCATTCTAGCAATGCACAAAAAGCACACTGAAGTCCATGAATAACTGTTGTTTGCCTCTAGTCACACTAACCTGTTTATCGATGCTGTTCTCAGCACCACCTTAGCCATGATTAGGACATGCATCCATTGGACATGCACTTGGACATGCATCCATTCTGCTGCCTCTTCTAAGTACACACAACAGAAAAACTGAAAATGCTCTTTGTTCTCAAACTAAATAAGGTGGCATTTAAATCCTCACTGAGTGGAATATAACTTTTTGTTCAATTCACTCTACATGACAAATAATTGAAATGGTTTTATAAAATCTTTCCTTTCAGTGTCTACCTGTACATCTGATTACATTTTTAGTATACAGTGACTGTCCTGAATCTAATGTCATCCTTCAGATGTCTTTGTAAGGTCTTCTGTAGATTTCCTTATTTAGACAAAATATCACTCAGTACAGAAGAAGACAAAGGTGCAGAATTTAATTATAAGTATTTGAAAAGCTCCTTTAGGATATTTATTAAAGAAGTCTTTTGAAAGAGTGACCTTTGTTGACCATGACAGATGAATCATTTTGAAAGACATCATTATGTAATACAAATGAGTTGAAGAAAAACAACTAAGATATTGCAGAATCACAGACTAGTTGAGGTTGGAAGGGTCCTCTGGAGGGTACCTCATCCAACCCCCCTGCTCAAGCAAGGCTATCTAGTGCTGGTTGCCCAGGACAGTATCTAGACAGTTGCTGTATGTTACTAATTTGAAAAAAGATGCATATCTATTTTTGTATGTACAGCTACTTCTTTTCAGAGTGACCGAAACACTACATGGGTGGTCAGTAATATTATTTGCTGACAGACTCCGTATGCAGTCTGATGGTCTAGTACCCAGGGGAAAAGAGTTTCCACAATTCATTAAGAATAGAGATTAAATTACAGGCGAAATGTCAATGTTTCAAGACATAAAGCTGCAGCTGTAATGTAAATGGTAATGTTTCAGATCATTTTCCCCCACAGCGATTTCTGCCAAGATTGTCAGTGTCTATACGCTGAATGTTCATCAAGTAAAACCGTGCTGCAGACAGGTTTGTTCACACAGCTCTCATTTGTGCTGTGTTGCTGGACATACTTGGCTTTGTTCTCTTTCCTGTAGTGCTGAGAATACACCACTCCCATCAAGGAAGTACTCCTGAAAGCACAAATATAGATCTCAGATTTTTTCAGCTTCTGCCCGTACTCTCCTCAGACACCATAATCTAAACACATTCTCCCACAGTACTCAAAAAACACAAAAAGTGTGAGGGAGGAAAATTACAACTAGAAAATCTGAACTTGGAAGTGAATCCTTCTTGTACGGTGGCAGCTCTTTCTGGCACAGTGAAATGTACATTTTATTACTTCTCCCAGCAGGAGCTGTAGTGAGTCAGATGCAGCAGGTATTATTGTTAGAACCATGGTCCTCGTCCCCATGCATTCAGCTTGGAGGCAAAACAGCTGGTTTAGCAATACTGAAGCACAGGAAGGGAGACTGCATTACGGGTACTTTAGGAGCTAGCTTCTTAACAAAAATTACCCCATATGGACTCACAACAAAGCAGCACCTACTGGGCTGGCCTATTTAAGTCAACGCAAAGCTTTAGGAGGACATCCAGGAATAATGGTGCACTTAGCAGCCTGTTTTATCAAGGTGGCTAGAAGCAGCATTCTGTTTACAACCTGAATGACGCAGCAGCTTTTCTGCTGAATTCTCAAAGTTACAATTTAATTAAGCAGATTTTGTTCCATTAACTTCTGTAAAAGGCATTCAATGCTTCCTTCCCTGGTGAAATATTATGCAATTCTAAGTGCAACTGTACCTACAAAAATGACGCTCAATAGATGTTAGGACAACTCACTTTAAACATCAGAAGGGAAGAAGCGTGAGGCAAAAATAATTTTGCAACAATGAACGAGTGTTCAAAAAACTGCACAAACAAAACCCAAGACAGACTACATTGCAATTTAGTCCCGTGAAGTAGCAGGCCCAGATAAAAGTTTCCTGAGATTTATAACTGAGGAAGTAACCTTTCTGAAAATGTTGAGGTTTCTTAGCACATGAGATAACACATGTAGGAAGCAGTAATCAGCTGTGTTTTCACAGAGTCTGCAGTACAATAATATATAAAGCGACACAAAACTCTTCCCTCAAGAAGTCACAACCTAAGTAAGCGCCATAGGTAAGCAGGTTAAAGGGTGGAATAAAGAAGCAACCTGCAAAGAGATTGATAAGTGATGTTTAACACATATATTGGCATCATCTGGCTTTAGTTACTTTTGTTCGTCTGCCATATTTTATATTGCTTCGAAGTAGAAGAGAATTGTATATCTATTTTTTGAAAGAAGTCTTTCAAGGAAGGGAAGACAGGAGCCTGACAGACAGTACAGAGGGGGAGTTAGTGTGAGAATAACCTGTGCAAGGATGACATAATTGGTTTCATTGCATTTATCTAGTCATGTCAATGGAACAGTATACATGCGTGCATCCTTGCAGAACAGAGGCTAAGCTATAAAAGAGAAATTATTATTTACTTATACCTCAGTATGATGCTTCTGCCATCAACTACGCTGAATCCCTAATTGCCTTCATATGTTGGAAAGGATGAAGTAAACATTGAAGATGTCAAGTGGAAAGGAAATATCTCAATCGGTCATTTACCATGGTAAGAATAGCTCATGTCTGTGTGTTTGTGCTTTATTCAGCATAGCTGCTGGCCTCCTCCCCTCTTCCCAAAATATGCAGCTGATTCTCAGATCTTTGGTCTCCTGACTTAAGAGGTGAGACCACATATCTCATTTAGTGTGCATGGGCTAGTTCTTGGGACAGGAGGATTCCTGCTTTTGTGACAGGGAGAAGTTGCAGTGCTGTTGTAGTTTTGTCCCTGGCTGGCAGACAAACAAACAGCACAACAACTGCTCACTCACCTTCCCCCCCTCCTGGGGTTGGGGGAAAGAATTAAAGGGGTAAAAAGAAAACGGACTCATGGCTTGAGAGAAGAGCAATCTAATAATAAAACTACAATAAAATT